CTTCTTCATTTTTTATATATAATTTTTAACATCAAACAACTGACAATATTATACAGTGTTCGAATAGGGAGGTCATCAGGTCTCAAGCTATGTGTGCAAAAAGTTCAAATTTATGAGGTATAAAACAGTGAAGGAAAAATTAAAATAGAACACTAATTTATAGAATCTACTGGTCATTATACACTGGGATTTTAATACTAATGTTCATTTAAAAATTCTTTCATATTCCCTCTCTCCAAATGAAGTACAATAAAAAAATCCTTTGATCCTCATTCTGTTTTGACAATATACAAAAAGTTTAGCAGGGGCCAGGGAGATGGCTCAGTGGATATAAGCACTTCCCTGGAAAGTGCACTGGCCTCAGTTCAATCCCTGGTTCGGCTTGAGTTCAATCCCCAGTTCCGCAGGAAAAAAAAAAGTAAAGAAAAGAAAAAAAAAGTTTAGCAGTTTAAAATTATATTCAGGACTTTCAGCTAAGAAGTTGTTCTAATTTTTGCATTCACTTTGCTTAAAATGATGTAAAGCTTTCTACACAAGTACAAAATAGAGCAAAGAACAGAAAATCAGCCTATTATTTTGAAAAACCAATTGTTTTTTAACTAATTTAAGATACACAGTAGGATAGAAACACAGTAAAGAATCCAAATCATAAAGTTTCTCTGTGATGATTTTAAAGTAATTCTGAGCAATCCAATCATTGTAATTTATAAAATGTGGAGACAGCATCAATGAGAATAACCATTTCATCTTTGATAGTATAATACCCATTTAACCATCTTAGTGTATTAAAAATAGTTATAGATATGCTTTATCTATATTATGAAGAAATATCTCCAAATCTGCTATCAGGATATTTAAAATTTCCTTGGAAAGAAGCCATTCAGAACATCCTAATGAAGTAGGCACATGTTGTGGTCCTATTTAGATTCTGAAATATTAGATTTACTTTGAGTGTCATACTTGAGTGTGTAATACTGAAACCTTACTTTCATATCAAAAAAATGGGGAGAGTATCTTCGAGATAAGGGTTGATATTGTGGTACTTAAAGCAATATTAGGCCCTAAGTTGATCTTTAACCAGTAGTAGCAAAATAATAATAATAATAATAATAATAATAATAATAATAATAATAATAAATATTAAGCCTGAGTAGGCAAGAGAATATGGTTCTTCATTTATGGGGAGGTAAATTTTAAACAAGATAACTTTTTTTTTTTTTTTTTTGGTGGTACTGGGGATTGAATTCAAGATCCTGCGCTTGCCAGCCAAGTGTTTATTCTACTGAGCTATCTCCCCAGCCCAAGTTAACTTTCACTGGACTCAAAGAATAGCTAACTTGTTTTATGCTTTTCTTTCCAAGTGATTTCTTTCTTTCAGTGGTGGACAGAAACAAATGTTTTAGCAAGGAAAATGTGCAAAAGCAATAATTGCTATATTTTTAAATGTAAATAATTTTTAAAAAACTTATAATTTCAATCTGAGGTACAGGATCTCAGGATAAATCCTGAGGGGATTTCACTGACCTTATCAGACCCAAAAGCTACAACTCCTGTTGCATAGGTCCTGCTTTACCTTGGTCTTAACCATCCAACAGAAAAGTATAAAAATGAAGTATAAGAAGTAAAGCCATGCTGTTATGTTGAGCTGTGAGGGACTCAGGTCAACAATTTCTGACATTGCCAGTCAAGTGGAAGACCAAAAACTATTATGGGCTACTGAACTCTTTTAGAATATTTTGCTGAGTTTACACACCTATAATATTTAAATGATGGAACTTAACAAAAAAGGGGACACAGATGAATGTCCATTTTGTATCTGTGTATTCAAGGTGGTTGGGAATAGATATACAGTTACATTCTCTTAATGAATAGAAGGACTTGTTCTAATGGTGTTTGTAGATAGGATATCAAGTCCGCATCTTGTACAGCAATTAACCACTAGGAAGAATGTATGCAATGTGTTAATTATTGGAACTGTCATACCAATTTGGTTTGAAACTGTCTCATTGCTATTTGTTTCTCAATAAAATTATGGAAAAAACCCTTATGATTTATGATGTTCTTAAGGCAAAAGAATAACATGTATTTCATACGAATCTAATGTCTCTTAAAAGAAACACAACATGAATACATCACTGCTTAATCATGAGGCACATTTTGATCATATAGGTCAAAACATTTAAATGCATTAGAAGAGAATTTCAAGCTATCATTTAAATTTATCACAAGGTAGTGATAATAGTATCAGATAGCATCTGTTGGAGAAGTAGCTTTCTCTAATTTTACTGACACATTGAAAACAGAAATTTCAGGCTATTACTAAAATAGGCAAAGAATTTGTTTCCAATTATATTTTGAGAAACAACAATTTGTGCAAATACTGAGTATTGAACAGCCAAGTAAATACATCCATAGGTACAATATAATTCAGAATATTTATTCCTAGAAAATTCCAGTTATTGGCTTACTTTATTTGGGGAATAGTATAGCAATTATTTGTTTCAATTTTTTGTTTTGTTTTGTTTTTTGGGACAGTGTTTTGCTATGTAGTTCACGCTGGCCTTGAACTCACTATGTAGCCTAGTCTGGCCTCAAACCTGTAGTGATTCTCCTCCTTCACCTATGGTGTTGGGATTACAGGCATGCACCACCACATCTGGCTATAATTCTTTTGATTTTGGTGTTTTAAATTTTTGCTATAAATTTTTGTTATTAAAATGTTTGCAAAAAGGCTGTTTTCCATAGAATCTCATAGAAGTTTTCTGTATGATACCTACTCTTGGCCCCAGTTCTCCAAATTGTCCAACCAGTCCTTCTTCTCCCTTAAAAAATCAAAATACATTATAGTTTAAAATCTATATTTAAAAATTGAAACTCTTATTCTTTCTTCTGAAATTCCAAGTTATTTCTGAGATGTGATGAAAATAACAGTGCAATTTTATTTTATTTTAGAATTGTACATGCTATATCTTTTTAACGTTTTCTGCACTTTGTCTGCATCTCCCTGAAGGGGGACAAGTGCTATTGGGTTACTTTTCAGAGGGAAGATGGTACAAGTCATATTCAGAAAACTGGGTGAGGAGAAAAGTAAAAGAAAGTGAGCTATCAAAAAACTAGGATTTGGACTCACTGGGACCGTGAACTAAGGATAACCTTTACTGTGTTGGGTTCACACAGAAAAGCTCAACCAAGTTCACTACAGACAGAAATCAGTATGTATCAGGCTACTGAAAAATTGCATATACAAAGCATGTTGTTATCTGTACATTTTGATATTTCATTCACTCAACACATAGGTTTTGGAATTGTAGTGCTGTCTCAGCCCTGAGAGAGACAAATGTACATCAGATGCTATTCAAGTAGCAATTGACTCTAGAATCTATTCTTGAATAACTTTCAGGCCCTGTATTCTTAGAGTCAAATCAGCTACAATGTATAAAGACGTAGTATAAAGAGGTATAATGCATAAAAACCACAGTGTATCCTTTTAACTATCAAAAACTGAACGGGTAGAAAGAGACTGAAGATGAGTGGAGAAAAGCATAATGAATTTATAATAATTCTCTAAGAGAATAAATAAAAATTGTTTATATTTTATCTAAATACATATTTACTAAATATATTGATTTCTTGCCTTCTAATCAATATGTGTGTGATATTACTAGTCAATGTTACCACATCTTAAAAATATAAATGAACATCCTTTGAATCATACATCTTATTTATTTTATAAACAAAAATTTTGCTCAAGTTACAATTCAAATAAAATGCAATTTACTGGGTCACAAACAGTAAATATAAATTCTTCTTCATATGCATGAAGTTCTGAGTTCAGATTCTCCAATACGCCATTGGAGAAGGCAGACATAAGTCACTCAATGAACTCAGAACACTATAAAGTAATTTAAAGTTTTATTCCCTGACTGTCAATATGAAATAGTACTTGAAATCTCTCCTGGCAACATAGGCAACTCTAAGGCAATCTTTTCTCTAAGCAAAAGCTACAGTTCCATACATAAATAGATACATAGATAAAGTAGGTGACGTGACTTTAAAAATTGTGGAGTGGATACCATACCTGAGTTCCTTTGAGACCAGGAGGTCCAGGAGGCCCTCTAGCTCCAAGGAGTCCCTATTAAAAACAATTTGATCAGTCAGCATTAATCTGGAGATGGGCAATACCATGTACTACCTTTTGTTAAGAGATTATGAAAATGAGATGGAAAGTAAATGAACAGAAGATATAAGACAGCATCTAAGACACTGGAAAAATTTTCTTAAACAGTATGTTAAGGTTGAAGTAGTATGTTAAGAAGGTTCAAAGTATGTTATTTTTCAACTTTCAAATACCTTCCCAGACAAACTTTTTCTAAATTTAAAGAACGGAAATTGATACTCTGACAATAAATACATATGCAACAGATGTGTCCACAAATTCTGAAAACAGATGCAGGGGAATATCTATCTGCTAAGAGACCAGCAGAATCTGGAATTCATTATTCATACTAAAGGTTCTTCAATCATTTTCCATCTTGACGCAAACTGGTAAAAGAGAAAAGCAATGTACAGAAGAAAGTGACAGTAAGAACTTTATTAGCATTTTAAGACTATAATTTTTTTTGTGAAACACAACGTATGTTGCTAAAGCTCAATTAGTCTCTGAAAGAAAACTTGTTCAAGATAACTATAAAAGTAATCTTCCTACTTTGGGAAACACCACACAACATCTGGTCGGTGTGGAAAGATTTTTTTTTTTTTTTTAATTTGTTTCTGTTGTCCTGACTGCAATGTACCACCAAAGTTTTCACTGTATTTTTTAGGAATGGCTTTTTGCATTATTGCTTTTATTAATTGGATTCTACACCAATGACAAGGTTTCATCCAATTTTAACTGTAGTAAATAACTATGATAAAGAACAAATCTATGAGATGATTTTGATTTTTAATGGGATGTGTGGCAAACTGCAGAGGAATCTTTCCTTTATGTTGAAATTTGATCCATCATTGCACTATTTTGACATGAACAAAAAAAGAAAAAGAAAAATCATTGGTTAGTTTAATTGTATATTATTGTAAGCTCATACAAACATTTTTCAAAGAATTATATGACTTTAGGTAATAATGTTTGGTGTAATTATCTTAATTTAGTTTTTTTTTTTTGTATTAAAGGGAAGGGTCTACAGGGTGTTCAGGGTCTCACTACTAGATCAAATTCGTAGTGATCCACCTGTTTACAACCTTCCAAGAGCTGAGATTATCATATTCTGTAGGGACTTAAAGTTCAACATATCAATACTTGATGAAAAATACCTGTTCCTTATTATGCCTAAGATGTTTGA